GGTAGGCCTGGGCCCCATGCATGCATCCGACCCCATTAATTCTTACTGGAGGGCCATACTTTGCTGGACCACTGGAGGCCGCCATGAGTATATCCATAGGAATGAATGGAGGTCGTGCACAGGGCCCGTTCATGTATGCAACCCCAATAATGGAGGGCTGTATTTTGCTGGACCACCATGAATACGGCTACTCAGGAATGAATGGTGTATGGTAGGCATGGGCCCTATGCATGCATCCGACCCCATTAATTCTTACTGGAGGGCCATACTTTGCTGGACCACTGGAGGCCACCATAGGTATGGCTACCCATAAGAATGGATGGAACATGGCACACATGGGCCCCATCAGGCACGTGGCCTCATTATTTTTATTGGAGGGCTATACTTTGCTGGACCACTGTAGGCCACCATAGGAATGGGGATGGCTACCCATAGGAATGGATGGAACATGGCACACATGGTCCCCCATTCATGGATGGCACATGGCATGTTCATGCATGTGGCTCTGTTCATTCTTATCAGAGGACTGTACTTTGTTGGATAACTGGAGGCCGCCATGAGTACAACTATCCATAGGAATGATGCACATGGGACCCGTTCATGCATGCGGCCCCGTTCATACTTATTGGAGTGCCGTACTTTTCTGGACCACTGGAGGCCACCATGAGCATGGCTACCCAAAGGAATGGATGGTGCATGGTGCACATGGGCCCCATAAATCCATGCAACTCCATTCATTTTTATTGGAGGGCCATACATTAGGGTCCACAGTGAGTACACATATGAACGTATAGCACATGGCACGCACAGGCCCCATTCATGAATGTAGCCCTATGCATTCTTATTGAAGGGCTTTACTTTGCTGGACCACTGGGCGCTACCATGAGTTCATCTACCCATAGGAATGGATGGGGCCATGGCTCACATGTACAGTGATACACGGACCCAGTGAGGGACATTTTTGGTGGAAAGGCTGTGCAGTATGAGGTTTGGCTCACAGCACATATCTCCAGAACCGTGAGGAAGATTTAACTAGGTGGGCTTCATTCACTGGGGTGGGGGCATCAATAAAGGACAAATGTACACAAGGCACAGTTCTTTAAAGTGTATCTAAAGGCAAAACATATTTTTTTTAGACCCCGTCTGTGACATTGAAAGGAAAACCTGCACACTGATTAACTCATCTCTGTATCACTCTGTTCTCTTCTCCTGTCAGCATGTTTCTTATCAGCACATGAACTGATTGGATCCTTGTGCTGCTTCTTCATCTCACACTCCAGGCCTGCTGTACAAGGACTGCAAGAGACTTAAACCAGGTCAAATTCAGGTACCCGCACTGTTTGCATTTAAAAAAAAAACAAAACACATTTTATTGATATATTACTGATTACAAACCTGCATTGATTTGTGTCTCATCTGCCTAGAGTTCAGCTTTAAGCCCTTACTCTATCCAAAAAACAAGTTTTGGCCATTGATATACTATAAAATACTTCAGAGCAGCATGTTTTAAAATGAATATCTGTGGCATTGTAATTATTATTTTTATATTACCAAATTACACCTTTATGTATTTTTTTTGTGGTGGGTAGGCCGTTATTATGCAGTCTAGGATCTAATGTTGGAACTAACAAAATATGATAATATAATAATATAGATATTAATATATTGTAATATAGATAGATAGATCTATATACTATATTTAATTATATTATTATACTATTTATAAATATATGTGTGTCTATAATATTACAGTATTATTTATAGTATAATAATATTTTTTATATATAGTTAATTATATTATTATACTACATATAATAGTGTAATATTATATATACTGTATTACACTATATATATTAGTGTAATACAGTATATATATTATACTGAGAGAGAGAGAAGGAGGGAGAGAGAGAGAGAGAGATTATGGTGTAATATATAATATTACAGTATTATATATAGTATAACAATTTTATATATATATTTAATTATATTATTATACTACATATAATAGTGTAATATTATATAGATATACTGTATTACACTAATATATATATATATATATATATATATATATATATATATATATATATAAAAAATGTAATTATATATAATAGTATAATATTATAGTACATATATTATAAATATTATAATAGTATAAAATAATCTGATAAAAGAATCTTTCAGAACCTGACTGCACTAAACAGTAATTTTGGTATGTAAATTGCTTTTCTTATAAAATGAATGGTCCATCCTGGCAAAAAACAATGTAGTTTGACTAAACCGGGATTTTATTTGACTTGGGGGTCATTTATAACCAGTGAAGAGTTTAAAACAACCTAATCTTTGATCGTTCGATTGTGTAATGTTGTTCGCATGACCACCATAACACCCCGAAGTATATTTAGCACCATCAATGATTATAATGCATATTGATAAAATACCTCACATAAAACAGAAGAGGGTAAGCTTATCATAGTTGCTGAGCCTTTTTTTTTTTTTTTTGTTTCGGACCTGACCAGCCACATATTTGTAGACAACAGACCAACATGCCTACCTATATGGCCAATTGTATGTGGATACCCGTCCTTGAGTTCAGGCGTTTCCAGTGAAGCGTACTGTTAATACTAGAGCATACAAAGAATGGTCTTGCTAGGTCTGTATGGAAACTGTTTGATGAGTCTAGTGTGGAAGAACTTGACTGGCCTAAGCAAAGCCCTAACTTCATACCTACTGGAAATCTTTAAGGTGAATTGGAATGCCAGTTGTGAGCCAACTCTTCACATCCAACATCAGTTCCTGACCTCAACCCTATTAAACACTGCTGGGATGAATTTGAATCATCCAACATCAGTACCTGTGCTCAACCCTACTAAATGCTGTTGGAATGAATCAAAATGACACTTTTGAGCCAGCTCTTGTCATCCAACATCAGTACCTGACCTCAACCCTACTGAGAACTATTGGAATGAACTGAATGCCATTTGTGAGCCTGGTCTTCTCATCCCACATCAAAACCTGATGTCAACCCTACCAAACACGGTTGGGATGAATTGGAATGTCTCTTGTGAGCTAGGTCTTCTCGTCCAACATCAGTACCTGACCTCAACCCAACTGAGAACCTGTGGGATCAATTGAAATACCAGTTGTGAGCCAGGTCTTCTCACCCAACATCAGTACCTGACCTCAACCCTACTGAGAACTATTGGAATGAACTGAATGCCATTTGTGAGCCTGGTCTTCTCATCCCACATCAAAACCTGATGTCAACCCTACCAAACACCGTTAGGATGGATTGAATTGTCACTTGTGATCCAGGTCTTCTCACCCAACATCAGTACCAGACCTCAACCCTACTGAGAACTATTTGAATGAACTGAATGCCATTTGTGAGCCTGGTCTTCCCATCCCACATCAAAACCTGATGTCAACCCTACCAAACACCATTGGGATGAATTGGAATGTCACTTGTGATCCAGGTCTTCTCACCCAACATCAGTTGACCTCAACCCCGCTCTAGGAGAAATATTGGAATGAACTGACCTCAACCCTACTGAGAACTATTGGAATGAACTGAAATGCCAGTTGTGAGCCTGGTCTTCCCATCCCACATCAAAACCTGATGTCAACCCTACCAAACACCATTAGGATGAATTGAAATGTCACTTGTGATCCAGGTCTTCTCATCCAACATCAGTACCTGACCTCAACCCTACTGAGAACTATTGGAATGAACTGAATGCCATTTGTGAGCCTGGTCTTCTCATCCCACATCAAAACCTGATGTCAACCCTACCAAACACCATTGGGATGAATTGGAATGTCACTTGTGAGCTAGGTCTTCTCACCCAACATCAGTACCTGACCTCAGCCCTACTGAGAACTATTGGAATAAACTGAAATGCCAATTGTGAGCCAGGTCTTCTCATCCAACATCAAAACCTGATGTCAACCCTACCAAACACCGTTGGGATGAATTGGAATGTCACTTGTGAGCTAGGTCTTCTCACCCAACATCAGTACCTGACCTCAGCCCTACTGAGAACTATTGGAATAAACTGAAATGCCAATTGTGAGCCAGGTCTTCTCATCCAACATCAAAACCTGATGTCAACCCTACCAAACACTGTTGAGATGAATTGGAATGTCACTTGTGAGCTAGGTCTTCTCATCCAACATCAGTACCTGACCTCAACCCAACTGAGAACCTGTGGGATCAATTGAAATACCAGTTGTGAGCCAGGTCTTCTCATCCAACATCAAAACCTGATGTCAACCCTACCAAACACTGTTGGGATGAATTGGAATATCACTTGTGAGCCAGACCTTTTCATCCAACATCAGTAGGTGACTTTTTGGAGTGTGTCTGTGGGAATTTGTGCCCATTTCACCAATTTATTTTTGGCTGAATGGGATCAAATTCCCACAGATGCGCTCTAAAATCTTGTATAGAGCCTTCCTAGAAGAGTGGAGGCTATTATAGACATACAGGAGGGCCTATTCCATATTATTAGTCATGGTTTTGGAATGGGATGTCCAATAAGCTCATATAGCTGTGAGGGTGGTGTATCCAAAAAAAAACCCTTTGGTCATATAAAGTATGTCAAGAAAAAGACTGGCCACATTGATTTCAAACATATATAACCATGTGTATGTAGAAGGCTGAGGGAGGACTTTATTTGTTTTTGTTTTTTTTGTGGTTCAAATACTGTATATTTTAAGTAGGACTTTAAATTTAGCTTATAAATATTGTATCAAATAAAAATGTGTACTATATAGGGTTGATATGTTGGATGCCCCAATTGTTTGGTTTTCCCAGAGACTTTGTTGAGGTATTTAGCATATAAACAATATAGATATTGCTCTCTGTCCACAAGTACACATGCAATGATGCTAAAAATATGTACTTAAAAAAAAAAAGTATTATACCTGTATTTCTACAGGACTGTGAATGCTTAGAGCAGTTAACAATGTTAATCAACACTAATTAATCCTTGGCAAACATTTTAAGACACCTTCATTTTGCTGTCTTGAGAATTAGCACCATTGCCTCTATGCAATGCTTTTCTTTCATGAGGTTCCTCTTCTGGCTGACGCGTTACAAGCAAACGGCAGGTGAGAAGAATGCCGAAGACCAGTGCATGTGCGTAACGTTTTAGAGGATCTCCAACAAGCTGGTGGAAAAACAAGACGATAAGTACCAAAAGCAGAAGGATGAAGTTGGCCACGTCTCTCGGTCGCCCAGGAACCAACGTGAGGACAATTCCACAAGCAAGCTCTAAGGATCCAATGGTCTTTCGCATAATCACGGAGGAGAGGCCAAGCTTCTTGAGTCCTGGTAGAGCCTTCATATAACTTTTATATGCCCTCCTCTAGAGAAAACAGAGAGGAAAACAGAGCTATGATTAAGGTCCATGTAAACCCAACCACTAAAATCTCATATAATCTTCAACATGTTCATGGCATTTCAAAGGTCTTATTAAAGAAGAATTCCAGGTATGGAGATTTTTACATTGGATCAGCTTGAACCAATGTATCTATGAATATGTCATACTTGTGGGATCCCACTAGAAGCTGCAAATCACTGTAGTAGACACCCCTACTATAATGATCTCCACTAGCTTCTGGGTTCTATGCCAAGCAGCGGCCCTGCAGGATTCTGAACACAGGAGGTTAACTATTGGACACGGCCATCATTCAGAGATTGCTTTGCTTTTTATCAAGTGAAATCACGCCCTCCAGCTTGTACAATCAGAGATTGCTTTGCCTTCCTGAGAAAATCCAGAGCAGTCTCTGAATGGTGTCCATGCTGAATGGATGACCTTCTGTGTTCCTAATGTAGCAGGGCAGCTGCTTGGCACAGGACCTGGAAGGTAGTGGAGACCACTGGAATAGCAGTGTCTACTACAGTGATTTTTAGCTTCTAGGGGCATCCAACAGGTATGGTAAATACATAGTTACGCTGGTCCAAGCTGGGTCAATGTAACTATGTAAAAATATCCATAACTGGAATTCTTCTATATATATGCAGCTTCCTTTAAAATATTGTAGGTGCTAGTGATCCTTCCATGAGGTTCCACTTTCCCATTCTTTTTTTTTTCTTTTTTAACAGGGAGGAATCCTTGAAATAACTTTATGGTCTCAAGAAATCCCTGACAATAATTACTATATCTATAGTTCTCTCAATATTAGCATGATGGTCAGTGAGAAGAATGCTCCTTACATTGGTGGTGCCCTGCACGCTCCCAGCACATGTGTCCATGACTCCTGGAAAGGTCCCGATCTCCCCTTTCGATCGGGACCAATTCCGATCATGTGACTGCCATGACGGCGAATCACGGCGGTCACATGACCCTAAAACCCCGCCTCCTGGCTTCTGAAACTCTTACAGGGCCAGGAGGCGCCGGCACAAAGAGGTTAAAGAAGCCAATCCTGCTTCTATCTAGTAAACCGCCATTTATTTCTTCCATCAGCTCATCCCCCCCCCATAGCTATTACCTTTTGTATCACTCAACCCATCCTCCTAGATTGTAAGCTCTAAGGGGCAGGGCCCTCTGTTTCCTCTTGTACCAAATTGTATTGTAACTGTAATGTCCGCCTTCATTTTGTAGAGCGCTGCGCAAACTGTGGGCGCTATATAAATCCTGTATAATAATAATAATTAATATGCGCATGTGCAATTGACTGGCAATGCTCAAAATCGGGCCTGTAAATTAGTTGGGCTGCATACGGCCATTCACTTGTCAGGCAGGCTGTAGGTGGCACCTGCTGCTCCCAGGGTGCATGAAGACACCTGGAATCTTACGGTGCGCTTATTATCAGCCTCCCACTGCCCCTGTGAATAAGGCCTTATGGTTTCATACAGAAAAATAGGTGACAGAGCACAAGCAGGGGTGTATTTACCACAAGGCAAACAAGGCATTTGCCTAGGGCGGCATTTCTCAGGGGGGAAGAAGAGACGGAAGAAGGGACACACGCGGCATGGGGACCTGGTGGGTTCCGAGACAGGTTGCGGGTTTCACGATGGTGTATGCAGAGCCCAACTCTTCTTCTCGGGAATGTCCGGAACTGTTAAGGTGAGTGTGTCTCTCTCGCCATGGGGGATGGTGGCTGGTGTATGGGGGGGCACTGGTAGTGGAAGGCTCTCTCGGGTGGGAGGCAGGGGTGTTTTTGGTCAATGTCAGGCTCTCTCTGTGGGGGGGCGCGCAATTTTTTTGTTGCCTAGGGCAGCACAAAATCTAAATGCACCACTGAGTACAAGAGCTTATGGCTATCACAGCGGGGTAGGTTTACCAAAACTGGAGCACTCAGAATCTGGTGCGGCTGTGCATGGCAGCCAATCAGCTTCTAGCTTCAGCTTGTTCAGTTGAGCTTTGATGATAAAAGCTGGAAGCTAATTGGTTTCTCTACAGAGCTGCACCAGATTATGCACCAGGGGCGGACTGACCATTTGGAAACTCGGGCACTGCTCGAGGGCCTGGGGTCAGTAGGGGGCCCCATGAGAAGCCCCTGGTACCTTTTTCATAGGCTTTTTTGAGTTTGGGCAAGGACACAGGGGCCCCATGATCCCTTATTGCCCCGG